AGCGCTTACAATCATTCATTTGTAGAATGTTGCTGATTCAGCCGGGCCTTTATTTTTTCATACTACGGAGCAGGTTACTTATCGAAACATTTTTAGGAACAGACGCAAGCCAGATCCGGAAACAAACACATCACATCAAAAGAAACTCTAACCTTTAGCACTCATTAATCTGCGATTAATACTAGCCTCAAACAATTGTATAACAGTACAAATAGCAAGCATTGACCACTCGCCGAGCGCGATGATCATCACCCTAACGAGAATATATCGTCTCATTTTTGTACATCATAAGTTGTGATCACCCGAATTTTGTTTCAATTTTCTTTATGCAGCAAACTGTCAAGGTATGCAAGTTTTCATTTGAAAGAGATGAGTAAAATGTTGTCAACCATCAAGCAGAAGGGACGGTTTTCTCCTGAAAAGCTTTTCTGCCAACGTTTCTTGTACGAGGTTAAGAAAGAAACTAAGTGAAACTGTTCACAGCACGCAGGACAAGAGAAAAGCGCCAAACACAAGAGCGTGAAAGTGTAGATTTTTTGTACTTTCAAAAATGCTTATTTTAAAAGATCATTACGTAACAAATTCAGGCCCAAAGTAAGATTCCAGGACAAAAATGTTAAAAAGACAAAACATGCAAGGTCTTTGTTTTTTTTGTTTGTTTTTTTTGTGTTGTTGTTTTTTTCTACCAAATTAAGAAACTCTCCTGGGCAGGAAAAACAAGCCAACTGCACGAAAATCCAGAGTTGAGATGATCTAGGTTGAACTTTTGTAGTTTCAAAAGGGCTTATTTTGGCATAACATAAATAAGATAGTTAAAAGCCAGTGGTCAGGAAAAAAACCTTAACAAAGCATTAAGCGACTAAGGTGTAGTTAGTAGATCAATTGCTTTTCGAATGGCCATTGTGATGAGATTTTCGTAAATGAGGGAAGAACCGTGGTGGCCATTACTGCGTTGTAGGGTGGTGCCCGTGTTGAAGAGAAGGAAGCATAAAATGGAATTTAAGGACTGTTATTCGGAACAAAAAGGATTGGCCTTCGTGGAAAAGGACTGAGACGCTACGCAGGTGGCTGTTAGTAAAGGTTTAACTGCCTGTGAATTCTACATTGGAAGAAAACTTACCATATTTGAGAACAAGTAGCGCAGATCAACGATTCGCAAACTCGTCTTAAGCAGTTCCTTCCGTGAAAGAGACGCTGATGTGAATGCACGTTTCACCCGGTATACCTCTTTTATTAGAATTTATTTTAACTAACCAATGAAAGTTAACTTCGAAATCTCCTGTTACAAATTTTATCTCTCGTTTCTTTTTAATTTCTCGGCACACTTCAGGTTGGAACCTAATATGGTGTACCTTGCATGATGAAAACAAAAATGTATTAGTAAGGACTTTATTGCTGGATATAGATAAACATACCTATCTAATGTTACAGGCTAAATATAGAGATAAGCTGAATACCAGTACTGAATACTATACTTTATAAAATGTGATAACATAACATAGGAGAGAACACTTCCTGGATTCGGAAAGAAATTGATTTTCGTTTACCTTGTGTTAGCAAAAAAACTGAATTTTAAAACAAACTGATCATAACATGGTTCTGTCTATTGCGGTCTTTATCAATAAAAAACAGCCGCCGTCTCAACAGATCAAACTAATGGAATCAAGAAGCTATTTATGACAAAAGGTCAACACGTGTCTTGCGTAAGAATTAAGCAAACGCTGCGTTTTAAATGTCACTCTTCCTTTGAAATAACAAACAAGTAGACCAAGATATGAGACCAAAATAAAAATTGACTGTCAAAGTATTTAGCCCGTGTGGACTAATTGGGGAGGCAGATTATCTAAAAGTGTTCTTGATAAGACTCTTGTTAGCAAAAAAAGAAGAAAACCTCAATAGATGTTCTCCGCGTCTTAGAAGTACACGAAAGCATAATACAGGGGCACCCAACGAGAATATGGTTCAAAAGCACTTAAACATAGGATTATTGAACGTATTTTAGTATTTAAACGGTAGATATAGGCATATTTTTATCCTCGAAAAATTTTTCATCTGTTCGGATTTCCTAGCTGAACGTCTAGTGATCCGAAAATTATAGGGATCAAAACTAATCTTTTCTAATATTTCAACCAGAAAAAAGACTCCCGAAAATTCTAGGTGACCTGTTTAGGGTAAACTGATCCGTTAAAAATCAGGGGCAATTATACCATTTTTAGATGTTCGAAAATCCTAGGTGAGGCAGGGAAGCAAAAAATTTCACAACAAATGTTGCGAAAATTCTAAACCTCAAATCGCCTTCCGAACAGATATTTTCCAAAAATTGACGTTGGGTGCCCCTGATAATACCCAGGCGTTATTTCAACTTGCGCTATATACGTTGGATTGCCGTTGTTACTGGCAACTTCCACAGGAAAACGATTAAAATAAATGATACACTTTGTGCTGTTTTTTATAGGACACGTCTCATATAAGGTACATCATAATTGGTTTCCAAGTAGAAATGAACCTAGAGATACTGTGCGGCAGCACCATCAATTTTTCCCCTTTTTTAATTATTTTGTTTTAATTTTTTGCTTTCTCCAGCTCTCTCTTTTTTAATATTACAGTAGATTTTCTTTTCCTTTTTAACCGGTGCTACACCAGGTAAAAAGCCTCCCTGTCGACTTCTTTCATCAAAGCGACATATACACCAAGGTATCGGACGGTTGGTGTTCACTGCACTTTTAGCTAGTTGACTGAAAGTTACTCACAATGACCGAGTAATTGTGTCGCGTAAAATAAAGACGCTGCTGTTTTTTTTATTACTCGTGCGTATAACTGTGTATAGATAAACACTTGAAGAGTTTGCTTGACACGAGTTCACAAATCTTTAATTGGAAACCTTGCCAGACACTCTTTCTCCCTTTTTGACGGGAATAAGACTCAGCCCCAAACAAGCAAGACGAGTGAACAACGGCTAGCTTATCACTAGCAGAACGATGGACGGTTACAGAAATTCGCTGACAATCAAATTCTGTGCTGACTTATTCCCTGCTCACAGATGTCCTTCCACTATAAAGTTTAAAATAACACTAGAATGCGCGAACGTGAATTGATCAAACGTCCTTTTAGTTTCTAAGGCTTACTTTCCGGTAAATAAAATGAACTGAATGTAAGAAGTGAAAGAGAAATAGCGAAATTTAACTTCTAATTACATCTTTTCTTATGGTTTAGAATAAACTATTCTCGAAACTAAGAATGTTTTGATCAAAGCTGTGAAAATCGAACTGAAACTGCGCATGGAACCTTGCGTTTCCTGTATTTATCTCACCTATTGTATGGAATATGTGTGAAAATCTTCATTATGAATCGGTATCAAAGAGCATGAACAACGAGCAAGAATACTATTGACCGACAATATACAGAGTGGGGACAGCTGTAGTGACAACAATAGTTACATAGTTTGCGTTATTCTGCCTTAAAAACCGGTTTATCAGGCAAGCACATAATTATGGAATTCAGTTCGGGTACAATGGTTTCTTGTGGCTCCTACAAAAATAGTCGTGTTAGTAAACCGTCCCGTTTAAGTGCGTTTACTGCAACACTATGAGGCATATTCCTCAAGAAGATAAATATCCGATCATTTCACCAAGCGCTTACGATCATTCATTTGTAAAATGTTGCTCATTCAGCCGACCTTGAGCAGGTCACTTACCGAAACATATTTAGGAACAGACGCAAGCTAGATCCAGAAACAAACTCATCACATCAAAAGAAACTCTAACCCTTAGCACAATCATTAATCTGCGATTAATACTAGCCTCTAACAATTGTATAACAGTACAAATAACAAGCAATGACCACTCGCCGAGCGCGATGATCATTACCCTAACAAAAATATATGCTAAACAGATTTTCACTCTTGTACATCGTAAGTTGTGATCAGTTGAATTTTGTTTCTATTTCCTTTATAGAGCAAACTATCAAGGTGTGCAAGTTTTCATTTGAAAGAGGTTAGCAAAAATTCGTCATCCATCAAGCAGAAGGGACGGTTTTCCGGACTAGAAAGGTTTTTTGCCGACGTTTCTTGCACGAGGTTAAGAAAGAAACCAAGAGAAACTCTCCAGGGCCCGCAAAACAAGCGAAAAGCGCCAAATACAAGAGCGTGAAAGGGTAGATTTAT